GGCTGCGCAGAGGCGTACCTGCTTGCGAGGCGCGGCTGAGCAGCTGGCTGAGGCGCGGCAGCAGAGGGTTTCCGCGGCGCGCAAACAGGCCGACGGGAGCGCCGCCTATGACGCACTCCCGCACGCGGTGCAGCTGCGGATATCCGCCCGCGCTCACGAACTTCCGGAACTTGTAGAAGAAGTGCGAGTGGTCCAAATGCAGCAGAATTCCCTCGTCGGCGCGCGCGCCGTGCAGGATCTCGTCGAATGTGGTGTACCACAGGGCTGTGGCGTCCGTCATCTCAAACCTGCGCAGCATAGCAAATGAGTGGAACAACAGCCATTAAAATTAATTATTTCAGTTCGTAATTTTTGTGGCCGCACCTTTCGCCTCCTCTAACAGTGGAGGACAATAGACACTGAACAGCAATGAATTGGGCTTGTCGCAAAATAATTGAACACCGGTTTGTGTTCATCTTATAATAAAGATATTCTGCGCAACACTCATGTTACTAATGCTCAAATGTGTTGAGAAAGAATTGAGAAATTTCATTTTTCAACAAAGAGACGATGTAGTGAAAATATGCTAAGATGCAGTGAAAATGAAGAGAAACCAGTGTCAAACACTTCTCCATTCATTTCCAAAACGATTCCATTTTTTTACCACTCTTCGCATAATATTCGACGTAAAATTCGTGTTTACGAGATTTTCAATTACAAATCCCAATGACGAATAATGCGACCAGTAACCCGTTAAACACTCATTTTGCCGTTACAGAAATAATCTTTCCCTTGAAATACGGTCATGTATAAATGAATCGGGAAGGCAAATCCGTTCCACCCAAAGTGCATTCGCTGCGTAGTAAGCCGCGTGTTGCGCTGAGCCCACCTGTCGAGCAGGCGGGCGACGACGTCGCTGCGATCCAGGCCTGCGTAGCGCTGCCGCTCGCCCCCGTACGTGTGGATGCGCGTCAGCCGCGCCTCGGCCGCCAGCAGCGAGTCCACCTCCGGCGCGTAGCGCGGCAGCGTCAGGTAGCTGCCGCACGGAAGCCACTGCCACTGCCACTGCCACTACCACTACCACGCGCAGCGAGATCCAGTGCCGACCTACCAGCGCCTCGTTTACTAGGGAACTGCGCCGGGATCCGCCTGGTATTGATCGGAGAATCCTCGCACCACTACCGACCAGAGCGGCTAGCCGCTGAAATTCTCCCCCAGACAGCGATTGAAGCTGACGAGGCGAATTGTTCAGAATTAATGACAGCGTCGATTTGTTTCATATCCCAAGGCTTTGAAGGTGGATTTTATGAGCTATTTTTGATGCATTTACAGAGAATAAAGGAGAATCTATCGCTGAGGAAAATGTTTCAGCTCATAAATGACAATTCTGGCGAGACTGAAGGCTTAATCGACGCTAAATGTGAATTATAAATAAATAAAATCCAAAATGGGTACGATTCGCGTAGCGAGGAGGGGATTTGTCTGAGTTTTCAATGCACGAGTGGTATTTAATAGGACTATTCCACAAGCAAAACTATGTCCAACAGTGTTCCAAAATGCGCCAAATATTAACGAAATCGTATGCTGAAATCAGAGGATATGTTGTAGCGCATACGCTGTTTAATGGACATGGCGACCGATGTGAACCGCCTTCTAAGATGAGAATCGTTGCGAGGGAGAGGCGCACCTGGTGAAGGAGCCCTGGAAGGCGTTGATGACGACCACCCCGAAGGCGGAGGCGGCCAGGCCCAGGGCGGAGAGCGCGGCGGCGCGCCGGCGCACGCGGAAGGCGCCCGTCAGGAAGGCGCCGAACACGTGGAAGGCGGCGGCGGC